TATCGTCCCATGTTGGCAAAGAGCTGTGGTCACTTCAGCAGGGTTTAACCCCTTAGTTTTGTTGCCTTTGCCTCGAGCTTGGATTCCTTGGAAATGAAACAACCTGTTCTGCTTGCCCAGAAAAGAGAAGACATATGGCAAAGCAAGCCCTTTGTTTCAGCCTCTGGAAACAACCCGGGTGTTTGGCGTGCCTCGAGAGTGGTCCGTTCCTCCGCTCCAAATGCAGATGGATGTAAAAATAGAACTGGCATTTCTTAAGAGCTCAGCATTTTGGATCAAAAGCGAGCTGTGAACCCTGGCTCCGCAGCCTTCCCCTCAGTGCAAGGCACAGAAAGAACAATCTGCTTGTTCAATCAAAAATAAAGTGCTCAGTGCAAGATGTGGCCCATTTTTCCTCCGTTGTATAGCGACTGCATTTACATGCGACCAAGTCCCTGCCGTTAGACCAGCTCTTGTGACATTTAATGAAGGATGGGGGTGATATTTGGGCCAAGAGACCATGCCTCACTCTGCACAAAGCTGACAGAAACCACAGAAGCTCTGATCAGGTTGCCTACCCAGGGAGAAAGGAATTAACTCATTTTTTTTACCATGTCAGTTATTACTCTAGTCTATCCCGCATGCTTTCAAGCATGACTGTCTACACCAGGTGCTGAGAGGTGTCTCTTGTGTTAAAACCCAACGTAGCAAAACCTGTGCTAGAAAGGGGCTGCTGGCTGTTTTTTGCTACTTGCTTCCCAAACCAGTTTACCTTGATCTGAAATTAGCCGTCTGATCTCTAGACTAGAGTACTGTACTCCTAAAGGCCTTCAGATGCGGGGCCAGGGGCGTGTTGCGTTATTGTATAGATCTGGTGGAGGAGGCATCTTATGCCAAGTTTACCACGTGGATTCTTTTCCAAATCATTGCTAAAGCCTCGTAAATCTTCAGGGCAAGCTGCCGTTTTTACGTAAATGGATCTGTGAATTTCAGAATCGAAGTCTTGTCGATTTATATTTTCCCCCCTTTAGTTATAGACAGCATGGGCGGCGAATACTGTTGGTTCTAATTACTTGGCTCTTGCTTCTACCTAGATCCATCAAGTGAATTTTTCACTTAGAAAATGTGACATTTTAATATTCAGCATGGAATTAAAACTGCAAACACGCAGTATTAAACCTAACCAGATTAGACAACTCTTGATCCATTGTGTAAAGACCCTTTGTCTCTTGGAGGGAAAGAACAGTCTTTGAACTGTAATGCATTCAGATTATCAAAATGTAGGTTGAGATGGACTTAACTGGAATTTAAACAAGCTGCAGTTTCCTTTCCCGGCTGAAACATGGAGGAAAAGGTAACCTCAGTGAGTTGGGAGAAGAGGTCAGAGATGGGAATGGGCAGCGAACAACAAAAGAGTACCTTTCTGTTTGGGCTGATGGGCTAGTATTGTCTGCAGACGGTATTTTCCAAGAGTAGGCCACATGGATGACAGGAGGATTTCCACATGTGAGTCCAGGCGCTGGGGGTAAAATGATCGCTGCCTTGAATGTGGAGGTTTTCAGTATCCTGATGTAATGGTTAGGATTTGCACTTGGCACAGGGATGTGCAAACCTAGCCCTGCCTGGCTGCATCTGGGGGAGTTGGCTCATTGGTGTCACTGATAACTGAAATAACTCCTACGTGACTAGGCCACAGCCAGTGCCAACCACCGCAACACAAGAAATTTTGGGCTTGGCACATGCTCTGCCTCCTAGAAGATAGCACCACCCTTTGATCCCGGTGAGCTGTGCAAAAGGGTAGGGGTCTTCTACGCAGATCTCTTCTCCGTGGATCCCACTGACTGTCTGCAAGGTCCTATGGGAGGCACTCCCACAAGTCAGGTTGGGCATTTGGGACTGGCTGGAGGATCCTCTTATTCTGGCCAAGTCATCAGAAGCTCTGCTTCATTTCCACCAAGTCTGAGCTGCTGCATCCTTCCCTTGACACCATCTTGCGGCAGTTACCCTTCATCCAGCGTCCACTTTGGCTTGAAGCTAGAGGGGATCTTGCAAAGAAGTAAATCTAAAGATTGTGTCATTAATGGACCTCAGACTGATCCATGATCTACATTTGCTCTGCACTAAGTCTCCCTGTTTGCCGTGCGTCTGTACTTTGTTGCACAGCATTTCCAGAACAACTATGAATATGATTTGGGCCCCCCCGCTGCATCGCGGATACACTCTTCCTGCAAGCGACGGCTGAAGGCAGCATTTGTCAGATCCATACAAAAAGGCAGCCTGGAAACGTCGTGTGAAATCAGATTCTGTTTGCAGCGTGGCGCACGCTTAAATTCATGTAGGAATTCGTGTCTTGACTGGAGGTGTCTGTGCCAGGAGCTGCCTGTTTGGAAGCTGGTGGCTCGGCTTTCCTGAAGGAGAGCTGGGTTAAAAAAGGAAGCAATAATAGAAATTGCTGCACCTGGGGATTAGCCAAAATGCTGTGCTGGGAGGTGGGGGGCTCCTCAATCGTAGAGACCTGTCCTGAGATGGTCAAGTTACCTGACTTTTAGCTTCTCTGCAGTCTCCATTGTTTGCTGCTGCTGCTTGCGTATGGGGCTGGGAGGGGGACATTTCTTGGCTTTTACTGAGTGCTTTAGAAGCTGAACAGCTATTCCTGGGCCCTGCTGCTCTGTGCAGATCTGACTGCCTTTGATCTGCAGTGGCATTGGATGGGCAGCACACAGGGTGCGCAGCTCCTCTTTCTCCTCTTCTGTTCTCTAGCCCTCCTCCCCCCAGACTAATTGTAGGAATCACTTAAACCACCAGACTGAAATAAGGAAGGAAACAGGGTCTCGTCAGCCTCAGATGAGTTCCTGTTTTTTCCTGATGGCTCCTTCCAGCCTGAGATGGCACAGGAATGGGAAGTGGTCTGCATGATAAAGTGGGGAAAAGTGGGGTGGAGGGGCAAGTTGTCCCAGCTTGGCCACTGAGATGGGTCACTTGAGACTGGCTTAATAACTGCCTTAGCATTCATATTTCCTGCTTGTGTCTCAGGGGAGACCTGACTTTACATCATGCTCTGAAATTGGATTAAAATGGTAGGGAAGCATAGACACTAATAAACCTAGGCTGTTTCTTAGAGGTGGGCAATTATTTCTGCTGGAGTGCCACTTAATGAGTTTTTGGGCGAGCTGTTGAGAGCTTCGCACATAAAATTAATGGCGAAATCATTTTAAGAAATTGTAGATTAAAAAAAAAAATCAAATTGTATGCTAAAAATCAAACCTCTACCATAAAACACTTTAATTTTATTTCAAAAAATAATTTTTGTCCTGATTTATGTTGTTTTTATGAGTAGTGTATATAGAGGCAAGACACTCAGCCAGGGGGAGGACTTCCCCATGCCCAGCAGAGCCATGCCAATGCCCAGCCACCCCCTGCCCCAAATCACAAGGAAGCTCCTGCTTCTGCCTGCACCCCAACATGTCCCTCAAGAGCTGCCTGCAACCCAAAGCTGCCTGCACCCCTACCCTTCCCATCCACACTCATGTTCACAAAGCCTGGGGAAGCCCAGCAGCCCCCTCCAGCCTGCCCCACCTCCTCCTCAGGGCCATGCAGGCTTTGCCCACCTGCAGCCTGGGGGGTCCCCAACCACAGTCCTGCAGTGCTGGGGGCAGCCTCACTGGGGCAGATGGGATGGGAGCCGTGCTGGTTGCAGCTGGGAGGTGGCACGTGGCTGGGCCAGCTTGCAGCACTATGGGGCAAGGCAGGAGGTAGAGGTGGAGCTGGGGCCAGGACTGGGGCTTCACTTGCTGGGAGGTGCTGAGAAAGCTCTGCTGCCTCTGGGCATAGGTGCGGAGCAGCTGCCGCACAGCCGTAATGCCTGGGCCAGCTCCTGCCAGCTGTAAGCCGCAGGCATGCGGAGCACCACTAGCCCATCCCGAGCGGGGACACCGGTGCCGGGTGAGTGCAGCTGCTTTTGCCCAGAGTCCCCTGCGATGCTAACAAAGGCTGAAGCCAGAGCTGCTGCCCGCCCATGGGCCGAATAGAATCAGTTGGCAGGCTGGATATGGTTCATGGGCAATATCTTGCCCACCCCTACTGTATCTGCATGCTTATTTTGTGCAGGTGAGATTCCAGCGCAGACAGACGTATTTAAGCTACCTTACTGGTATGAATGATAGTAAGATATGGCAGCCCAGGCTTTTCTAGGCTAATGGACCCATTCCCAATTATTTTTCTGACACAGCCACCTAGATTAAAGCTGGCACAGGAAAACCTGCTTATGCTTCCTAGTTACCTTGCAGACCTGCCCTTCAGTGTTGAATAGCCACTAACAAGGGCATGATGCAGGTTTAAGACTAGCTACACCTGCTTGTCTCGAAGTGCCGCTGTCACCAGGGTGGAACATGGGAACTGGTTTAATAGAGCACAGGTATTTATAGGCTACAAGGAAAAGTGTGGACGCTGAAGTGAAGGGTGGAGTGAAGCTCAGATAATGATAAAGATCAAGATGCTATTCAGGCATCTGAGTAGATGGCATACAGGCTCATCACCTCGCCCAGCATAATCTCTTCTCTTGAATGGGTGCAGGTCGTGAAGATGGGTGTAGCATGATCTGTCTGAGAGTTGAAGTGACTACAGGCAACCTGTTCGCATTCAAGTACGGATACGGATACGATGGCATGAGTCTCTCGTGGTTGAGTACTGCGACATGAATATTCATGATATAGTTGGTTCTGTTCTCTTTGCAGCCTTTTGCATTTTACAATTTTTAAATGGCTTTGTGGCACCCGGCACTTAAGCTAGGGACTTCATTAGTCTTTCATTTGTGTAGCAGGTTTTAAGAGTAAAATTGGGTAAACTGGTCCTTGATAGCTCATTTGATCTGATCATTCACTTTAGGGAAAAACTGTCTGGTTGTAATGATTTGGCACTGCTACCTCTCTTAGCTTTCCCCTTTTGCTGGGGATACTGGGACAATGTTGGAGTCTCCTGTTCCAGTCTGGTATCTAAAATTGTTCTTTTTCTCTCTCTCCTAGTGGGGAAGACCTCCTTGATCACCCGGTTCATGTATGACAGCTTTGACAACACCTACCAGGTAAAATAATGCACTTGTTCTTTTGGGCCCTGATTTTTGCCAAACCCCTACTTGCATGAGGATTCCCATGACCTCAGTGGGCAAAGGCTTCCATATCAAGTAGCTTTGGCTGTATTTTAAGGCTTTATACATGCGGAACTGCTCCCTCTATTTGGCATCTTTATATCACATTAGAATGTGCTTTGAGGAGCTGAGCAACAGTGTATAGCCCTTCTCCAAGATGATTCCTGTGATATAAATGGGCAATTCCATCACCAAGAAACGTAGCTGGCTTCATCTCTTTGGATAATTCTGCAAGTTCCTTTGATTACGTACCACCAAAACTTCATAGACCAAAACCCACCCCTTTTACCAATCACTGGGATCATATTAATAGAGTGATACTGAGAACTCCAGTTGTTCCTGTTGATGCTGCCAGAGCTACCATAAGTCTGTGCGTGTGTTTTGGGGGTAGGTACTGCAAAATTCAGTGTTATGTCCTGGTGGTGATGGGATTTGGTAGCACTGAGCACAACAGCAGTGGATGATTATTAGAGTGGCACTGTCTTATGCTTTGTATTTAACTCACAGCATGCTTGCTGAAAAACCTCACCACTGCTGGTATAAGCATACCCTGACTGTTTCAAAGCAGTCTGCCCAGTCAAGGTAAACTAAAGAGCTTGCAACAACCTATAAACCCAATATGTGAATTGTGGCAAACACCTCAGTTTAAAAGAGAAATGTCCAGCACTTCTGCCATGACTGATAGTAATCATAAAATCATAGAGAAGTAGGGCTGTAAGGGACCTCCGGTGGTCATCTAGTTCAGCCTGAGGTACAGGATCATCCCCATCCAAACCACCCTATAAAAATTCTTAATCTTAAATTCTTACTAAAACTGCAGTTGATCCTGACACAGTGTAACACAAAATGCCCTGATATGCCATAGGTAAAGCAGGGGGACCATGGCAGCCTATGCCCTGCTTCCGTAAAAAGGTGGTTTATATACTCCCAAGAGATCCCAGGAAGAGGTCATGCCCCCTACTACAGACAAAAGCAAAAAACCCCACGGTGGGTGTGTCTGCATGTTCATAGATTCATAGATTGTAAAGGGCTGGAAGAGACCTTGCAAGATCATTGGGTCCAGCCCGCTGCACTGAAGTTCATTAACTTGTCATAATTGCAGCACACTAAGTTTAGTATCTGCAGTGATGGGTACTAACTTAATGCGCCATAATCGGCGCTACTGCACATTAGCGCAGATAAACACTTTTTATGTGATGCTAGTGCACACTAGCATAATTCTCCTGCACATTAGCACTAATGCCAACCGTGCTAATGCGCAGTAGAACTAGTCTTCTGCGCATTAAGCATCTCATGTAGACCCATCTAGTCTAGACTGATTTGACCATGGGGTAAAATTCCTTCCTGACCTTGATAGGGTATGGGCTGTTGTTAGTCATGGAAGACTTTGGCCAAAGTGATTGCGGGGGGTGGTAAAGGTACTTTGGAAGTGTTTTCTGTGAAGAGCTGCAGTATGAATTACACTGGTATGACTGCTAACCTGCTTCCGTAACTGTTGGCTCTGCAGGCCTCAGCTGGATTCTCAGCAGGGTGACCTGAAATTCTGGTGTGAGAATTACTGCTGCTGAACGAGCGTGGGTGAACCCAACTTTTCCCATCCTAGACAGCTTACAGGGTGTGCAGCCTAGAGAACCAGGTTTTGCTCGCTGACTCGGCATGCTTGCTCCAGCAGCTGTGAAACCCAAATATCACTCGCCCAGAGCTGCTTCACAGAACAAACCCATGTTTCATGACTGACTTAGTGCAGCTGCTTCCCCATGTACTGAACATTTTCTTAAGAGAAACAGGCCATGCCTGGAAGAATGCCGGGTCTTTATTCAGGTTTTAAGTAACTTATTGTTTGACTAAGATTTGAATAAGAACAGTTTAGGGAAAAACGATCTATCGATTACTGTGTTCCTCTGAACGGTTTCCTTCCTGTTTCTCCAATAACTTCTCATCACTGCTACTAGGCAAGTTGGACAGATCTAAATGCAGGTTCCCATTAGCAGAGCTGTTGTGGTGTGTGTGTACTCCGGTTGTCCTACATCAGCTTCCCCCAGGAGCAAACATCCTGACGAGTTCTGGCCGCTGTAATTACATGGATGTGTTGAAGCAGTTCTTTTATTTAATCAACTCTCCTTTCCCACAGTACTTTTCTCGTTCAGCTGTGCTCTTTTCTCTGTGGAACACATGTCCTAGTTTTCACTTGGAGAGCTTTGACCCTTAGTGTTTTATGGTAATGGAGCTGTCGCCACGGGAGGCCGGTCCGCCATGACAAACTAAATGATTGCAAAGCGAGTGAGTGGGACTGAAAACAGCAAGAGGAGTCTTAGGAGCTTATCAAATAGCTTCAATTTAACTGTCATTGGCATGCCTCATTAAGTATTGCCAGACGTTTGTATGGTACCATTCATCTAGGGACCCCAGTGTGTTACAAACAACTCTGAGGTAGGGAACATTTTCCCCACTTTTATGGACCTGTAATGGCGCTGGGTCACAGCAGGGATAAGTGACATGCCCAAGGTCATGTCACATACTGGTGTCAGAACCAGAAACCAGATTTCTTCATGCCCCATGCCAAGCTCTGGCTAGTATAGCCCATTCACAAGTCTAGTCCAGACTCTTGTAATCAATGTGTTTAGTTGTAGCTGGAGAAGACTTGACCCACAGCTTGATTTCTCTGGCCCTTTCCAACAAATCCTGGATACCCTGTTTCTGAATCCTGCCACAGCCAGTTGCAGAAAAGCATATCAGCATCAGTTACAGCACAGGAAGTTTGGAATTGATGTTTTCTGTGGGTGTCTTATTCCTGTGCTGCAAAGTAAGAGGCTATTGACCCATGCCTTGTTCATAACCCGATCTATGGGAAAGCAGCACTTGTGTGCGCTCACAGTTCAGCAGAGGGTTCCCAGTGTGAATGAGCAACAAGTGACTGAAAGAGGCAGCCATGTAGATGCACCTCACTGCTGGGTGGTAATGAAAGGGCAGCAGTAGCAAAGAGCTCAAAACCCCTGCAGCATCTTTAAAGGACAACTTAGTGACCGCTTCCCCTTTGATTCTCATGTGCTCTTTGTAAATGATGCTCTTCTTCAAAGGCATGTTTTGGCTCTGCTGCCAAATACAGCCTCGATGTGGGAACTCCTGGAGGGGTATTCTGTAGCTGCTGTGCAAGAAGACTTGCCAGGCAATAGCAATGGTCCTCCCCTAAATCTGTGTAGGGATGGACAGGGCATGATCAGGGACCCTGGTTTAATTCCTTCTTTGCCACAGGCTCCCTATATGACTCTGGGCAGGTCAGTTCACAATCTGTAAAATGGTGGGGGCACTGAAATTTCCCTGCTGTGCAGCGGTTCTGTGAGAAGAAATGCTTGGCCAGATGCTCGCATGCTCTTGATGGGGGTGGTGTAAATCCTTACATGGATAAAGTGGAGAGGGTTTTTTCTCTTCCAGTTCAGTCTGGATGTGCCTCACAATGCACCTTGCGTGGAACCTGCAGACCCTTTAACTCCTTGCTATGTGAAGAGACGGCGCCTGCTCTCCCTTTACTTATCTTCATCTCCATTTATTTTCATGTCCGATAGCAACCCCTGAAGCTTTACAGCATCCTAACTTTTCCAAGTCTGCTAAACCCCACTACAGGCTTTCCCAGTCTCTCTGCAGCTGGGAATTAGCCCAGAGGCGACTTGTCTTCCTTCTGTCATGAGTTTGAACGGAGGCACAGCCTCTGTGTCTTTGGATGGCTGTACAAGTTTTACTGCATTAGAAGTTGTGGCTCATGGCGTGCCTGTATCCTTGTGCTCGTCCTCTGCTGTCACTTCCTTGTATCGTTCCAATATGGCCAGAGCTGTACATCTGGCCAAAGACGGCTTGCCCGCCTCTGCTCTTTATACCTCCGCAGGTTATTGTGCCGTGTTAGATGGAGTCATTTCCTGTGCTCCAAGTAGAGAACATTGCCAATGAAATGCTCAAGTCATGGGAGACTCGAAATATTTGCTGTCAGTTGTAATGTTCTAATTACCCCCTTCAGAGAGAAGAGAGACCTTTACGAGTAAAAGGACAATTTCACTTAATGCCATCAGCTCCACGCTCAGCCCTTAGCATAACCCTGTGTTTACAGGGTGGGATTGGAAGGGCGCTAGGAGTCTCCAGGCTTAATTTCTCATGGGTCAAGAAGTTTTGCAGAGGTGAGACTGTCATTCCTACCCAGCTGACAAGGGCTTCTCACCACCGTGACCCTCAGCATTTTGGCTGTGTCTTGCTTGCCCCGGGGAGAGGCAAAATGAGATGGGGATCCGCACCAACTTCACACCGTGCCCCAGGGGCCCCATCTGCTTGCCCTTGGAATCAGAGGTGGCAAAAACCTCTCAAGTCATCAAGTCCTTTCATTAGCCAAAATGAACTAATGACATGTTGAATATCGCACCTCTGATTCCAGTGAGGTTTAAACAGCCCTATTGATGTCCTCTCATCATTTAAGCATGGGACTAATTTGAGGAATGTCCTTCAGTGCACTCCGTGACCATGGACAAGTGGTTTGTATGAACCTTGCTGGTGCCCTGCATGTGCTTGAAAGGAGGCTTTTCAGTGGTTTCCAAGTTCAAGGCCCCTGAGCATCTGGCATAGACCTGTCTCAGCACGGGGAAAATGTCCAGTCTTTCAGATCAGACTGTCAGGAGCTGCTCTGCACACCGAGACATGATTATTAGAGAGAGCTTCTGGTTCAGCTAAACTATTATTACAGCTCGTGTAAGAACAGCCCCAGCCCCCAGGCTGTCTGCGCTGTTTCTCTACTGAATCTTCCTGCATCTTCTAGGAAAACATCTTCGATGAATGAAAGGCTTTTTAAACCTCTGTCCTGGAACACAAAGGAAACCTGTGGGACAGGGAAAATATTCCAGTTTAAACAGTTTTTTTTCCATCTTATAGGGGGAGGTTCCTAGTCTGTCTGCTTTATGCTTTCTACCATGTTTCAACCCCTCTGCTCCATGATTTTTCTACTTTTATAACAGACTCTATGCACATAATTCCCCACAAGGCATGCCAGGGCCTTAAGAATTTTCCTGCTTGAGTTTTCCAGATTTTACAGACTTGGTCTTGGGCAGGTTTCACTGCAACTGCCCCATAAACGTTCATACGGACTTGATATTATGATGGCATCATCTTCACTCTTCTGCATTGTGTAAGGCTTTCAGGCTTTTCTCCCTTTTGTATTTAATTTCAGATGGCACAGGGGAATCTATGAAATTTCAGGGAGAGGGGAGCTTTCTCCATGGCAAGCTTTTAATATAGTTTATCAGAACTGTTTAGCAAGTGAAGCTGGGAGTAATGTTTCACTGCACCAGTCTGCTGCTCTTCCCCCCCACTCCCCTGGGGAGTCTCTGCATTTTGGCTGCTTTATCTCTGTAGCTTTGGCATCCTTCACTTTTGGTGATGTAGAAAAGCTTGCAGGACCTCAGTATTGGGATTATACCCTTGTTTCTTCTTTTATACACCTTGCTCTGGTGGCCTGACACCTGCTGGCCTACTCTAGCAAGGGAAACCCATTTCATTGTGCAGTGAGCTGCCGCGGAAAATTGAGTTGGATCATGCAGGTTTTATTTTGCAGCTATCTTCATGCACTGATGAAGGCCAGCTGATTGCATATATGCAATCCAAGATGAAGGGGGCAAGCTACTGGAAAATGTTAAATCCCGTAATAAGGAACTGTTCTTGTGATACAGAAGCATCAGTAGAATTGGGATTATCATGGTATTGCGGACTAAACTGTTGCTCCAGCGCAAGGAGGATTACCTTTTGATCTTGTTTCAGTTGATACCAGTTGATACTGTGCTTGGGTCTTGGCTTCACTGATGGTGTTTAATGTTGGCACCATTTTTAAAGCACAGTCCAACAAACCTTTCTCCATCCAAGTAAGTAGTAATGACTGTGTCCGGTCAGTTACATAGCTGGAATACACAAGCCTGCAACAGAGATCTCCCTATCCCCAAACTATTCAACACAGCTGTACCAAAGGGGCAGAGACTTCGGGATCAGCTTTACAAGGGCAGTTGCAGCCTGTTAAGAGCTGTTCCCCTTCCTTTGCCAAAGCTGATGGCTGGAATATTTTTAGTTAGCTTCAATAATATCTAAGTGCACAAAGCAAGCTCTGCAAGCGAACACATCTGGTGGGGGGGAAATAAACAGCTGAAGTGTACACACAGTGTGGTTAATGTTAATTAAACACGTAACGTTTTTCATCTTGTAATCTTGCACTGCTATGAGAATATTGCGGTAATTGACTCCTGTTGCATATTAACTCACTTACTAAGAATCTCAAGGTTTCAAGCAGAACAAGCCCAGCACGTTTGCAAGTCCAAAGACCCTACGTCCCAAACGTGGCCCTAACTTCAGTTTGTCCCAGATTCTCTTCTGACACTCCTGTTTGAACGCCCTTACAAAAAATGGATCATCTTTTCTTTTTTCCAGTTGAAGTTGACTTTTTAACTTCCTTTTTCTCTACAGGCAACAATTGGCATTGACTTTTTATCGAAAACCATGTACTTGGAGGATCGAACCGTGAGTAAGATTTTTATCATCCAGTTCTCTCTGGCTGGTTGGAAAGAATTTGGAGGGTGGTTTGTCAGGAGGGCGGCATGCCGCATGGGGCTCTGCAGTAGCTTTGGCAGTCTAGAACTGGCCCAATATGCCAGTAAGTAAGAGATCAATGGCTTGGGCTTGGGTTTGGTCCCTTGCTTCTACACTTAGTAGAGGCTGACTACTATGGAGGCAATTTCTTTAACCATTCAGGTAGCGAGTACTTCGTGAATCTCAAGAGGATGTAACGGTGGGTTTTTTGTGTGTCGGGGTGCCCCATCTTGAATTGTCCTTGCTTTGGACAATGATGCAGAGTTCAGGGGCAGAGTCAGACAAATGCTTGTCTGTGGCAGAGTTTGAAAAGTTCTCAGATCCGATGAGGGCTCCTCTTGCCTCCAGATACTTCTGGCGCTTAGCTGGGAGCTGACTACACATTGGATCATGCCTGGAGCCCTATGTTTGCACCCGATTCCTGTTTGCTTAAGCAGGAAGAGTTTTTTGCCGCAAATATAACCCACCAGTTTATGCTTATTTACTCTGTTTAGCGCAGCCCCAGTCTCTGAAATTAAATCAGCGAGCCATAGACATTAACACTGTGGTTCAAATTTAGCTCAGATCTTTAATTAAGAAATGCTGCTGCAGAGTATATATTTGTACAATGTGTACATTTTTGGTATTGGATAAACCCACAGTGCATGTGACTGGATTTAAAATGATCTGACAACGAGCATGTTCTTTTAAAAAAAAAAAAAAAAAAAAAAG